TTTCCTCTATCCTTTGGAATGGCAGCATGATCTCACAGACTCTGACAGTCCTTGGTACAAGGGGCATGCTCAGCAAATCCTAGTTCTCATCCTCCCTTGCAGGAGCATTCTGGAACCCTCAGCTGGCTGCTGTGCAGTCTCCCACCCACTCAATAAACCCTAAGTCCCAGCCCACCTGCTCCATTACCACACACTTCTTTCCATGCCTGCTGTCACCCAGGCTGTGCCCTATCAGCCCTCTCCCCTCACTGTTTCTGACTGGTGTTTGTCAATGGTGACCCCCAGGGATGAGCCTCAAGGGTGGCGACCTAAGGTGTGCATCTTGAGGATGGTGACACCAGAGGTGCACCCTGAGGACCTATAGCCCCCTGAGTTGCTATGTGAACAGTCATGGCTCTGGACAGGAAGGCCCCACATCAGATTTGCCACACCAGCCTTGCCAGGCTCCCTTTTCCCTTCTGTGGAAGTCACCCAGGAGGTGGCCCACATTTCCTTGGAGACCACCAATGGTTGAAATGACCTGGGTCAGTTCCCTCCTCATTTGGCAGAGGACAAAACTGAGGTCCAGAGAAGCAAATCAGAAGCAAAATAGTCGTTCCCAGGTCCCCTCTTCCCAGCCTATCTCTCTCCACCCACCCACTCCAAAACTTGTGGGTCCTGAGGAGATTTGTGGAGGCCTAGAGGAATTCCTAGAGGAATTGAGGGCCTACAGAGGGGCTTCCAATATGTCTTTGGCCAGTGAGGTCTTGGTGCAAGACCCAGCCTGGACTTCCATCTCCAAGGGTTCGCCTCACTGCGATGGCCAGAGGTTCCTGGAGAGACCAGGTCAGCCAATCTGTAATGCCCGTTGTTCTACCTCAGCAGCTGATGTTAAGTGTTGTTCTCTACAAGGGTCTCTCTCTGGGAATAGGGAGATGGCAAGTGGGGACAATAGCCTATTACTCCAGTTCTACCCCTGACAGAAGGTGCAGCCAGTGAGAAATGAGGAAAGGGGAAATTTGCCCTTTATAGAACCATGAAGATAGTTTGTTGAGGTGTAGGGATTCTCCATTAATGTAATAATGATAATGTAATGATACAAGCTCACTGTGGAAAGTTCAGGAGGGGCGCAGGAAGCTGAGACTCCAGCCACAGCCCAGCTTCTGCTCTGGACACTAAGGGGATTCTCAACCAGACCCAACCCTCGAAAGGCTCAGGCCAGTCAGAGAGCCAGCCTCTCAGAGAAGTCCCAGGATTCAGAGAAAGAGAGCTAGAGTTCCTGCAGCAATCAAGAGAGGCTCACGGAGGAGGAAGGTTTGTTCTGAACCCTGTGCAGTGAGTTCTGGAGGAAAGATGGGGGAAGGAGCATTCAGGCTGTGATGGCTGTGAGCATGGGCAGGGGAAACTGGCCATACTCTAAGGGAAAGAGTGTGAGGCCAGAGTCAGGGGATGGGACAAAGGACTATAACCGTTGGAGAGCCATCAAAGAGACTGAGCTGGGGATGGTATGGTCAGAGTTGAGGCTGGAGGGGTGCTAGGGCCGAGGGGGAGAGGGTCCAAACTGGGAGGTCTCGGCTGAAGTAGGGAGTGGTTGGCCTCTCCAGACTTGCTCCACCTGAGACCAGCTTGTTGACTGCTGGCCCACTACAGCAATTAGATTAAAGGTGATTTCGGGGGTCTGATTGTCATGGGTGGAAACTGGCTGTATCTTTTTCAATCCCCTTCTGCAACTGGAGAAGTCGGGGGAGTGGAGTCTCATTTCCACTCAAGCAAAGCCTGAGGAGCACCTTCATTTTCCTGTGAATTTTTTAGAGGTTTTGTATCAGATCCTTAGAGCTGGTTCCCTGTGAGGAAAAAAGAGAGATGTAGGAAAGGCACAAATGTGGGTACAACAAAGTCCAGGCTCAACCCCTCACCAGCTTTACACCCCTCAGCAAGTCACTTCCCCTTCCTGTGAGTTTCAGCTTCCTGCGCTATAAATTGAGAAGATGAGGACTAAGGAAGGACTTTGTAAGGGGAGGGCTAATCTCCCATCTGGCACACAGTAGGTGGTCTCTCAGAGTTAGCCTTGTCTCCTGGGACCTATCAATGCAGTGAAGGGTCTTCAGCCCACAGTGCCCTGCATGGAGCTGACCTGTCAGGGATTCAGTTTCCTAATCTACCAAACCCTGGTGTTCAACAACCTCTCTCCCACAGCCTATGTATAACCTGAACTCCTCCATGAGGAAAACAAGTTATTATAGTCATTTAAAAAAATAATTCTATTACTCTGATTTATTTACAGTTTGAATACATTGTTTTTCACAAAAGATCCTTCCTATTTCCTTCACCCCACCCATCCATCGAATTGTGCAACCCTGTGATTAACACCCTACCCTCTCTTCTCTTTCCACCCTCACCCCCCTTGGATCCTCATACTCATTCTATAGTAATGGTTTTATACAGTATTTGTCCTTGTGAGACTGAGTTAGTTTACTTAGCATAATGCTCTCCAGTCCCTCCCAAGTTAGGAAGTAATTTACAAAATCATTGCTCCTGAGTGCTGTGTAATATTCCGTTGTATAAATGTACCACAACTTCTCAATCCATTAGTTTGTAGTTGGACATCTGGGCTGTTTCCATATTCTTGCAGTGGTGAATAATGTTGCTATGAAGATTTGTGTACAAGTTTCCGAATATAGTAATTTAAAAAACACAGTTTTTCTCCAGTTGATTCAGATGTATAGTAACTGAATATGTCTGAGTAGAACTGTTCCATAGATATTTCCATTTTTGTAATCTTTAGGAAATATATTGCCTAGTCTTTTTCCCAAAGAGTCTCTGGGTGTGTTTGATCAGTCATCTTTCAATTAGTAGCCAAGGACTTAACCATTTGAGCCACATCATGCCTGGAAAAGTAGAGGTTCAGGGAACGGAAGACCCACAACAAGATGAATTGACACAGTGATTACAACTGTGGACTCACGTGTGTCAGAGATGATAAGGATGGCCAGGGTTCAGATATGCTCTTCACAGGGTCACCATGGATCATGCTTGACTCAACAGCACCTGACAACAACAACAAGGACTCTTACACTCTTCAAGGTCTCGTTATCAGGCTTTGATTCTCCTATTTGTGACTTGTTGACAGAGAGTTCCAGGGTCCTCTCACGGTGAAAGAAAACTGGCCTGGGCTACTTGTCCTGGAGTTCATGTCTGAGCTCATTCCATAGTATAAGGACAAAAGGACGCTGATCTTCTGTCCAAGGGGTGTACAAGAAGCCGGCCGAAGTGTCCTCCATCTGTATCTTGTTTGTGTGACAGCTCACTGAACTTCACACCTTCTCTCTGGATTTTCAATACTTGATTTACCCATTCACAGACAGACTGACATTGATCTGCTTTAAAGGACTCATGGCAGTGTCTGTCCATCTGTCTGTAAGGCTCTTTAAGATAATGTGACCCTGGGACCAAGAGACACATTGCACATGCTCACTTCTCTTTGTCTGATACTGGATATCACACAGATTCTAGCAGAAAAAAGAAAATAAGGAAAGCTGCCAGCAAGTCAGTCTCAACTCATGGAAAAGAGTATGGCAAAATAAAATTGTGTTCTGCAGGGTTTTCCATAGCTGATTTTCCAGAAGTGATTACCAGGGCTTTCTGCCAAGGAGCTTCCAACCTTTCCATTAACAGCCAAGTGTGTGAACTCTTTGCACTGCAGGAATTCCCTGAGGCAATGCTGTTAGATGGTGAGTGGGCCACAATGGGGCTGTGTCCCAGCATCAGCCAGAGCCACATGTGGCCTGTCTCCAGCTCTCTGAATTGCTGTCTGCTTCTGGTCCAGGTGCTCACTGCCTCCCTGTGACTGCCTTTGTTTCTCATTAAAGCTGTGGCTTCAGCAACTCATTGTTTCTTGTTCTCCCACAGACTCTCCACATACACTTCTGGCAAATCTCTCTCTGGACTGAATTTCCCCATCTAGTTGACAGAGGTTTCCCCTAAGGCAAACTAAGCAACAAAAACTCCTATTGAATAACATCTAACACTGAAATCCCAAAGATAAAAGACATTAAAGTGCAGCCATTCTAGCCATAGGCCTCCCCTACACTCACTGGTATTCCTCCAGGCCCTGGGAAGAATTCTAGGGCCTTTTGGAACACAGTGAGAAAATGTAGAATTCAGGGAAGGAGTGGATACTAGTCCTTTTACAGTAGTCACCTCTTGCAATAGCAAACCTTGGGGAAATCTGGCACATATTTCCTTCCGTACATGAAATAAAGCTTTGAGGTGTACAAAATAAAATCAGTCATACTAAAATAGTTAACAAAGTCATTCAAGAAGTAAGTGTGGAGTCTAGTGTTATGTGTGCTGCTTTTTAAGCAAGATCTAGCAATCAAATAAATAATGATTAATTATAAAGTAGATACAAACATGTTCAAGACCTGAAACATCTGTAAAATAGCATGAAAAATTCATGATTTCTGGTGATAATGGCATCTTGGGTACAACTGAAATTCCTGTGATTGTGCCCACATACATACTTTGGTGTGCTAATTTTCAATCAAAGACTTTTTAAAATAAAGCTGTGATTACTTCTCATCCAAGTTCGCAGACCTCTGAATTCCTTTCCCTAGTTTTTAGCAAAGGATTTTAGACTCCGTGTCCAGTCTAGGGCTTACTTGGTATTCATATGCTAGTTGCAGAACCAAGAAGAATATGTTCTGGATATCCATAAAGAAAAGAGGGAGTTGTGTCTGCAGAGGAGGAAAGGCAAGACAAGGGAGGCAGAAGAGAAAACCATCCTGTGTGACAAGGAACTGCCTCAGGGGTCTAAGAAGTAAGGATGACAGTGTTTGAGCCCCAGGCTATTTATAGTGTTCTCCCCAGGTGAAACCATAAGGACCTCACACATACACACAATTTGAACCTCAACTATAGACATGCTCCAAGACCTCAGAAGCCAAAGCCAGTAACTGAGACCTCATTCCTTCTCATTTGGAGAGCTAGCAATGATAACTTAGATTTTATCTCTTTACCAGGGACTCATGTGATGGAAGGCTCAGGACGGATGGTGGTGACCGCTGTGGGTGTAAACTCTCAGACAGGCATCATCTTCACCCTGCTAGGGGCTGGTGGCGAAGAGGAAGAGAAGAAAGACAAGAAAGGTAAGCCCAATCACTGTGCAGGTCAAGAGATGAGCTTTTAAGGCCACATTTTTTTGTTCATTCGTTCATGAAAAAGTTTTTACTGAATGCCTTTTGTGTCCACACTCTGTGCCAACAGCTGCCTCCTACATTCTCAAGGTTCTCCTTGGGCCAGGCAGGCACTGTCTACTCCATCTCCAGGGTCTCGTTCCAGTCTTTGTCTTGTCCAGTCATATCATGGAGGCCCCTCCTTTCCCTCCAAGCCAGACCAAGGAATCTCCATCCCATAAATGGTAGAAAAAGTCATTGTGACCTGGCCCCCTCATCACTCCTGTGTCAACTAGAACTCCTTATTCAGTCATATGTCTTCTGCATTTTTAACTCCACTGAACATAGCTGAAAAATTCTCCCAGGTTAGGCTCATCCCAGTCATAGGAAAAGAGACTTTGGGAAGGTGACCAAACATGTGCCTTCAAAATTTCTGTTGATTCTTTTCTTTCATCCCACTGCAGCTGTCACCTTGCTTAGGTTTTAGTCCCTGGTATCTCTTCAAAGAAAGAGTCCTTATTCATTGGGTTCTCTCCAGCATCTCAGGCTGGAAGCCCAAGCTAAATGTGCCTCTTGAACAGAGGGAAGGATACACAGAAAAGGAGCCCTGATTCCCTCAGGTCAGACACAAATCCAAAGGCCCATATCTATGCCCCAGCACAGTCAATCCTTATGTGGAACCCACACTTAGTTTCAGAGAAAACCCTCCTTTCACATTTCCAGCTTTTGTCTTACTTGTTTCCCCCACAAAACTCAGAACTTCTGGAATCCAGATGGAGTCAGGTGGATACTCTAAGTTTTAAGGTCAGCCCTGCTACCTTCAGCCCTCATATGCCTATAAGAAACAGAGCCAAGGGCAACCCTTGTTTTATAACAGCAGAAGTATGGGAGCAGAGCTGTGATTTGGGGAATCATGAGGCCAGAAAGAGCAAATGAAATGCCAAAGTTGAAACAGAGCTCACAGTTCTGTTCCCAAATCCCAGGGACATCAGGATTGTCACCACAAGTAACTTTAGAAGCTGTAACCAGGATCATGACTGAGCCCTTGTTGGACATTAGACAGCAGCCTGTGCTCATTTCACTGGCCTCACTGGGGTCTGGGTGAGGAGCAGATAGACTCAGAACCAGTCCCCTAGACCAGACCTGTTTTCCTCCTGGCCAAGGCATGGGCTGATGTCACCCAGTGAGTCGTATCTGCAGACTAGGGTTGGAGGTGGGGGCAGAAGACTGCTTTTGTAGAGAGAAGAGATGAGATATAGAAGGGGTAAAGCAGAGAGACAGAGAAGTCCAGCCTTTCAGGCCACCATGAGCAGTGTGGACAAGATGGGGCCCCTGCTCTGCCATCTCATCATTTCCACTGAGGACATTGCCTAGAGATAGTTACTTTTGTGTGCCCCTTTCAGGGTGCCTCAGGTGGTGAGCGTGTGCGTGTGCGTGTACGTGTGTGTGAGTGTGCGCACAGGTGAGGCTGCATGTGTTCTCCTTCATTAACATATTTCAAAAATCATCACACAGGTGTGAAGAAGGGGGATGGCCTTCAGCTACCAGGTACAGTAAGACCCCTCCCCTTAAGGTAGATGGGGCTCTTAGAACTAGCAGCAACCTTTAACTGTTGAGCCTTACGCTGTGGACAACCCCCGCACACAATGGAGGGGGTTTCATAACCAAGGGAAGCTCTGTCCTGCCCACTTTGTGCCCTTGAGCAATGCCAATGCTCCACTTTGCAGACTTGACCTCATAATGCACCCTGCTGCATCCCACCCTGCATCCTCCCACAGAACTTTATCCACACACATTTCCTCACTCATGCCACACAGGCCCACACCCTCCTCTCCTCACCTCCCACACAGCCCATCAGCTACCCACAACCACACAGGGCACCCATCTTTCCTGACCACATATCTCACTCAGCACTGCCTGTTCCTCTCTCTCCTGCAGACCCATACCCCACTACAAAAAAAGAGTGACAAGGTGAATTTGTATATCATATCATTTTTAACTTATTTAAGGAAATTCACTGGTACTTTTTCCATTTTATGTACAAAATCCAGTGTGCTTTAAATGTCAAGAAACTTTATGTGGCTATTTTCAAGGCAACACGTTGAATGCTGGTTAGGGAAGGTGGGGATGACTCTTGGCAAGCCTAGGTCTAGGTTGTGAAAGCTGTTAAGGGTTGGCCTTTGGCATGTGGCAAGCTGGTGTTTGGCCAGAACACCTTGTACATGTTGATGATGGTCACAGCAAATATCCATCCTGAAAGGTTGGGTACTTTATCAACCACACTCTATCAATTGTTGGTTATTTTTAAGTGACTCCTAATCATTGGCTGTCCTGTCCCCAATAGAAACCCAGTTCCTTTTCCTCATGTAAGCCTTTTGAAAGGAGATGCACTTGATTGGCTAGGTCAACTGGGTGCCTCAGTCTAGACCTCAGCACAGAGCACTGCCATCCACCTAACCTCGCTGGTCATCCTCACTTTTTATTTCAAAGACTTTCCATGCCTGAGTTTCCCCTCAACCTCTGCAGCATCCCAATAGGACCATTATACTTGCCAACTTTTGTGTTTCTTGATTCTCAGCATAAGTTTTGGGGTTTTTAAAGACTAGAATCATGTTATTTCCCTGCCAGTTGTTTCATGACCTTATTGTTGTTGCTATTCTGCATTGTTCCTTTCCTCCATTGTGACACACTGCATTTTCCATCCCTCCCACCCCCTGCAGCGGCCGACGGTGCGGCAGGGTCAAATGCTGCAGATAGTGCCAATGCCGGCCTAGTCAATGGTATGTCTCCAATGTCGAGCGCTCGGTCTTGGTTGGATGGACCTCTCTCCCCACCCCAACTCTGGGCTTTCCTTTCCCTCTTCTGGACTGCACAAATCTCGGATGTGCATGGGCAGCTCTGGGACAGTCATCCTCTCACGTGGGACAGGCGCTTAAGAAAGGAGCCACGTCTGGGGAATTCACATAGCGCCCATTTGCAGCTTCCAAAATGGCACTGGATTCCATTGGGCCTTGATCCCCAGTGGAGCCCAGAAAAGGAACATCATTTTGGCTGCAGATTTGGCCCCCCAAGAAGCAGCATCCTGCCCGGCGTGTCCTCTCCTAAGCGCGCTCTGAGCCCCAGCTTTGTGAAGAAGGCCTGGGGTCAGGACCTGGGCTGAAGCCAGCATCTGGGTCCCACACTGGAGTCAGTCCTTGCCTCTTAGATTCTCCAGAGGCAATGGGACCCAGGCCTGCATTCAGCTCCTTGGCCCAACCCTTTAGCATGGCTGAGCCAACAGTAGACATTTCTTCCTCTTCTCTCTCACGGAGCAAACGGGCAGGGGGTTTGCTTGGGCTCAAGCCAAGTTCTAGCCCTCGGATGTGGACTGGTGTTTCTTGCTGTTGCCTGTGCTGGAGCATTTGTCCTGGGTCTCTGCATTCGTACTGAACCCTTGGATGTGGAGGGTGGGGCAGGGGGCTGCCATCGTGCACATGGGGTCTGCATCTTAACGTCCTTATACACAGGCAGGAAAGAGTTCCACTCACTTGCCTCCAAGCCTCTAGAAGATTCCTTGTTTCTATACCCTCCCATCTTTAGAACAACAGCTCTTCTGCTTACTCAGATACTTCCCTACTCCCCAAAATAGGTAATAGTGCTGTAACCAAGGCTGCTCCCAGACACTGAGAGGCATTAGGGGTCAGTCATGACACTGTGGCCCAAAAAAAGCAGAGAGAAGGGACAAGTCTCTTTTTTTCTCAGCAGCACTACACATCAAGTGCTGGGCTATGGGTTTCTCTGCCTTTATATCATTTGCCTCCCACCACTCTAGCAAAATATGAACATTCCTGGCCTTTCCCACCCTTCCCCTCCAGCCCCACTCCAGGCCTCTGTTCAAGCCAGTTGGACTCAACATGACCCAAGATGGAAGTGCCCCGGGTGTGTCCTAGGCAGGGTAAGACACTCCTGCAGACAGCATTGCTCCAAGAAGGACTGTTTGGTGCAGTCTATTTCAGGCACAGGAGGAGGAAGGAGAACAGCTTGGGGTGTGGGAGGTGTCATGCATCAGGATGAGGTGGCTGAGGGGTGACAGGGAGAGCCGCTGTGGGTGAACCCACGGGTACCAGAGAAGGGAACAGGGGAGGGGAAACCTGCTGGGCTCCAGGAAGAAGCAGACCCCAGCTCCAAGAAAAAAGGTCGTTCACTTCCAAACTGCAGCAAACCCCCTACCCCACCCCCAGCCACCAGGGAAACTGCAGGGAGACGGGCAGCTGTCCACTTTGACAGCCCAGCACGCTCCAGGCACTGCCCACTTAATCCTCACAGCAGCCCTGTAGGTAAAGTGAGAGTTTGTTATCCCCACTTTAAAGATGAGTAAACAACCGGAGGCTCCAAGAGACCAAAAGTCACAGAGCTAGAACGCTGGATGGTGTCTGGACTTCTTCCCATCCAGGATTCCCTAGTGCATGCCTTGTAAGTTTATAAGAATAGTAAGAGATCCGTACTGCCATCTCTAACAAGCCCTGGTGACACACGGTGCTCATCTGCTAACAAAAGGGTTGGCAGTTCAAACCCATCCAGCAGCTCCATGGACGAAAGGCCTGGTGAGTCTGTCACTCTCTGTCACACTGGACTCTTAAGAGTCAGGACTGACCCAGGAGTACCCAATAATAAAGCTGGAAAAGATGAAAAAATCTCTCCTAGAGCTTCCAGGACTACGGCCTTAGATTTCTAAACTTTTATAACAGTATCATGAATATGCTAGAGTTTTGTAGGTGTTTTATTTTTTAATAGGAACATAATTTTTTAAAAAGTCTTTTTACCAAGGAAAAGATTCCATGGTCAAATATGTTTAAAAACCACTTCATTGAATTGGTTTCTTTCATTGCCTAGTAAGTAAATGTGTTGCCAACACAAAGGCACATAACATAGTTGCAAATCTACCAGTTGCTCCTTGGTAGGCAATCTCCGCCCACACCATTTACAGCCTTTGAAAACCTACTGGAGGGTCAGCTGTGGGTTGGCTCCCACTAAACAGCACATCACAACACACAGGATATGTTACAGTCATATAGATTTTTCAAACGGATTTGACTGTGGGTCCTTCCTTCTCCTTGCTGAATCTTGTGGGATTTGTATGCTCTGTAGCATATTTTTGGGGAGTAAAACTGTAAACCTATTCAAAGTGTGGTCCCTAGACCAGAAGGATCACTATCAACTGAAGCTTATTTGAAATGTAAACCCTAAAAAAAAAAAATGTTAAAAAAAACCAAACACCACAGCACCACCGTCTGCCGGCTGAGTGATGGGCTGTGTCTCACATGTTCATTAAAGGTTAAAAGGGGCCTGTGGAGGTGTGGCCCAAAGATAATCGTGCCGCTAGCCCAAAGGCAGTGCCTGGCTGGCTGAAGGGTCAGCTGGGAGTCGGGTCCCACTCAACGGTGATGCAAGTTTATTTCTAGTAACCTGTGCAGTCAAGTCTTATTCACGACCAACAGCCTATATCTGAGTGTTCGGAAGTAGATCGCCAAACCTATCTTTAGAGGTGCCTCTGGGCAGACTCGAACCACCAGTCTTTGGGCTGGCAGCTGAGAAAGCAAGTCTTTGGCCCAGGTACACCACTGTTAGCTCCTGGCACTTCCATAAGCACAGATGCTAATTTAGCCTCACTTCACAAAGGAGGAATTTCAGGTGCAGGAAGGAGAAGTAGCAACTCCTGGGCCCTCCAGCCAGTGGTCTGTTTGTGGAGAACTCAATGACCATCACAACTCTTTAATTGTATTGCTTTTCCCATTGTCCTCCCTCAGGAAGTACAAAGATAATTGATCCATTTGGAAAGGCAGCATCTGGGATGGGATGCAGAGAAGCACTCCTGCCCCACCACTCTTGGCTCCCCTGAAACATAGTACACAGGCATTGGGGACATAGAGCTGGTCTGTATGTTTCAGGGGCCGAGTTAGCAGTAATTTGGAGAGCACCCAAGTAATTCCCTTGCTTCTGGGAAAGCGGGCCACCTGTACCCAGGCAATTCCTGAACACACAGCTCACTCCTTCAAACATGTGCACTACTGATTTTTTTTTCCCAGCCACGTGGTCACTAAAGAAAGAAAAGAGGAAAATGCTAGCTTGCTTTTAACCAGTTCTTGCATCTGATAATATCCAATGCAAATAAAAGCTCCTTTGTGCCTTAGAACTCCAGCTATTGAAGCCGAGTCCTCTGATACCCGATAGCACAATTAGTAACATTATCTTAAAAAATGAAAATAATTGTTGTAATTCAGCCCTGTTGGCTCCAGAACCCCTTTTTGTGTTTTGATTTTTAATCCAGTAGGAAGGCTTTTATAGCAGAATAGCCAGGACCTTTCTCTTGGAGCCCCAGCCAGTCCCTGCACTTTTGTGTGATGCATTGTATGTGGACAGCCATCCTAACACATGTCAGGGGCCACTGCTGTCCTCTAAGTCACCTGTGACCAGCTGTGGTGGTGATGACCACCTGCATGGACATCCCAGCAGCACAGCCACAGGGTTACTGTGAGGATCAAACATAGAGAAGGTTCTGGGCACTGATTCCTCCTGATCCTCTCCTGAGGTCTCCCAACATGCTCATCTACAGAAGAGAAATGAGAACTCCCCCCTGCCTTCCTATCACACTTGGAAGGAGGACTGACATAACAAGAGTCGCCACTGGCCAAAGCCCCTGAAACTGAAAAGTGAAGGAACCTGCACCTCGTTACTGTCAGGGTAACTGTCAAGGACGCACCCTGTTAAACAGAGGTGGAAGCTGAGGCTGGGAGAGACAGAGTCACACAGTCAGTTGTGGGGAAGTGGGGACTTGAATGGCCCAGTTCCCCACTGTCCCCTTGACTCCCCTCCCCAGCTATACCTTCAGATAGGTAACAGCAAGTGTCCAGTGTAGGGCCCAGAGGTTGTAAGTGCCTGAAGAGTGGTGAGCCTCACTAACATGGTGGGCTCAGAGCAATGGGAACCTTTGTGCAGCCCTTGTCCCGGCTGGCCAGCAGGCAGGCCCTGAGATTAGCACCCACCAGAGCCTCCCATGCTGCTAGTGGGCTGCCTGCTTACAGGTAGAAATCTCCAGGGTAGTGAAGGCATGTGTGGCCCTATAAGCTCCAAGTTCAGCCACTTCCCCCTGCTCTAGGCAGCCTGGGACCTTGGGAGGCAGGTACCCAGTGAGCCCACCAATCCTGCCTCCCAGAATCCTGTGACCTAAACCCACTGACCTCAAAGAAGGCAGCAGTTTCCTTTTGGAAGTCAGATGTCCCCCTCAAGCCTTCATACATGTTAGACACCAGGGTCCCAGCCCAAGGCCACTCAAGGGAGCCATGCAGGGCTGTTCTTCCAGAGCCAGAAACCAAGACACACACTGATTCAGTACCTTGTCCAAACCAGGTCTAGAATTTCATTCTCTGTCTCTCTTTCTTTAGATTGTGTCTGCATGTTTTCCTTCCACAGAAAATGCAGCTAATAGGGATGTAGCTAACAAGCATGTCCCCTGGCCTCCTTGCTGGCCACAAAGGGAGTGACCAAGTCAGACTGGCTGCTGAGAGTGTCCTCCTCCTCTTACTACTACTACTGCAGCAGATTTGGGTTCTCTTCACCTCCAAATACTATCCTTTATTGTGGAAGATGCTCAGAGTCTAAGCATTGCAAACTCCAGCCCCCTTCTCTAACCCCTCAAGAGTTAGTTGTTTGGCCTGAGAGCCTACAGCATCAATGGGCCCTCACACCCCAGTCAGGACCAATATGGTGACCCTCTGAGTCCCAGAGTAGGAGCCCCAGTAAGTAGAGCCTCTCCTCAGGTCCAGGCTGCCCTGTCTGCGGCACTGCCTCTTTCCTCCATCTGTGACTTGAGTGTCGTGGCCTGTTTCGTCTTTGTGGTGACCGATGTGTGCTGTCTGTTCTCTGTTGTCTGTTAAAATTCTTTGTCGTGTAGGTAAAATGCAGGATGGCAATGTGGACGCCAGCCAGAGCAAAGGTAACCCTTTCCTATTCATTGCTTTCTGGTCTGGGCAGCACATGTGAGCAGACGTGCTACACGGTGGGGTCTGGTATCTGTGGGGCCCAGGGGTGCTGCCCAGGTGCTGGGTCAGGTGGAGCCCTTGTCCAGGAAGTGAGCCTGGCATTCCTGCAATGGGAAAGGGGGCTGCTTCGTTAAGATCCTTAGAGGCCAGGCCTTGCCTAAAGGGCCACTAGTCACAAGTCAGGGCAGTGCCAAAGAAGCCACTGTGGATAGATGCAGGGACACAATATTCATTGACCTTTCACACCTTCCTTTTTTCCTCCTGTCGTGTGGTGATATCCCAAGAACATGGCCCCAAAGGCTAGTCGATATGCCCAAGTCTGTCATCTGTCTTGTCTAAATGGGGGAAGAGCCAAAGAAGCAGTTGGGCAGGGACTGTGGGCTCATTCAGGATTAGAGAGAACCCCAGGGCAGAGCTATGTCACTCGCTACCAGGACTCAGGACGTCTGGCTAGAAGAAGCAGGGTTCTGTGCCAGCCATGCAGGGGTGGGGGTGGGTCAGGGAAGGACAGCACCTAGCAAGCTGTGTGGCTCGCAGGCTGATGTGTGTGTGTGTGTGTGTGTGTGTGTGTGTGTGTGTGTGTGTGTATGCATGCTTTGCCCCTACAGCCAAACAGCAGGATGGAGCAGCCGCTATGGAGATGCAGCCTCTCAAGAGTGCTGAGGGTGGAGATGCAGATGACAAGAAGAAAGCCAACATGCACAAGAAGGAGAAGTCAGTGCTGCAGGGCAAGCTCACCAAGCTGGCGGTGCAGATCGGCAAGGCAGGTGAGTGCAGGCCAGTGGGCATGTGGGGCAGCCAGGGGATGGAGGGCCACCTGGTCTGCAGGATGCGGGTTTGCACGAGGGGCTCTCTGAGGATGTCCTCCTCGCCCATCATGCCCACCTGGGTCCTATCTGTGCACAGCAGAACTCAGTGATTCGTGCAGCAGTGAGAGATGAGACATCTAGATTAGGCGACACACCCTTTAGAACAGGGAAAAGGACATCCAACCAAAGGACACACCCTGCAGTGGAGGGACAGGGACAGCCTGGGCTCTGAGGACATACCTCCTACATTCTTGCCCAATTAGAGCTGTAAAACATGAGCAAAGAACTTTGCTAGCTCTGCACCTCTACTTATCTGGACTATAGATGTACTGAGGTGCCTACTTCCTGGGGTTGCTAGAGTGCAACATGCATGGCTGCTGATAGAGCCCAATCCTGCAAGGGCCTGGGGTTAGTTCTTGCAGCCCCAGCTTTATCCTCCGAGCAGTAGGAGCTGTGCAAGGATGTTGAAGAAGGGAGGCAGGAATGGATTTGGCTTTATGATTACGTGTGGCTGTAGAGCAAAGATGAACTGGTCAGGGGCAATACCAAGCCCAGCACAGAAAGCCCAGCTTCCCGCCTGAGCCATCAGTGGTGGCTGGTGGGGCCATGCTGACCCCAGAGGCCCAGCTCAGCTGCATGATGAGCCCTGTCCTGGCTTTGACTCCCTACCTAAAGAAGGTCTGTGTAAATGCCACGGCCTCTTACCTAGCCCTGCTAGCCCTGTTCCTCTGTGCTGTCTCCTAGCTCTAATTATAGGCACTGCAGTGTGGGGAAGCAAGGCAAATTACAGGCTTGGAGGCCTATATTTAAACTCGAGCTTGGTAACAGCTCCTGGCTGCTGGGTGCTTGGCTTCCCGCCCCTGCAACTGTCAGGCAGGACAGAGCAGCTCTGAGCCCTGCAGCTGGGGCTCCAGCTAGGAGTGAGGAAGATGGCCCAGGGATTTTCTCCATCCTGCCATCAGTTACTGTCACTGTCACAGACAGAATACTCCAGGCATCAGGGCCAGGCAACCAAGCGAGGGGCAGACCTGCAGCCTTCCAACTCCTTACTCAGCTTCCTCTGCCAAGAACAGGGTTCACAGTCAAGCATTCTGGGCTCAGATTCCACCCTGGCCTCCCTTGGAGGATGAACTCTACAGGATAGCCTGAGATGGGTGGCCAGGTGATTTCATGGGAGGAAGGAGCCCCAGATAGGACCCGTGAAGGCTAAAGGGGGACAGATAGGCCAGAAAGAAGCTAAAGAAAACAGATTCTAAAAGCAACTGCCCTCTCAACCTGACCTTGTAGGTCAGGGGAGCTCTTGAGTATGACCACCCCACAGGCCCATGCCCTAGGCACCCCACATCAGCCATTAGATAGTGACCATCAGAGAGGAGGGATTTCCCAGGCACGCTGACAGGGATTCTGATCTCTGGAGGAGGGGACTGCAGGTGGGTAGTTCCAGCAGCACCTGCGACAGGTGGGAGGGGAGAGGTGAGCACCAACTGGCCAAGGAAGTCCCAGGGCATTGGGTCAGGGCCACCTGTGCCTGCTGCAACTACAGGGTTCCGCTTCCCTCTCTGAGCCCCAGACCCTGTGCAAACAGAGCTGCCTTTCCTCTAGCAGAGACATTCTTCCCACATCACCACATTCAAATGTCTCCCCAAACATATCCTCCCCAGCATCTTCCCTGGCCACCAAGCTGTAGCACCCTACCACCGTAGGTCACCTGCCATCACATCCTGGTGCTCTTCCTCAAAGAATTTCTCTGTCGCCACAACTGCACTGTTCACATCCTTATTTATTTTGCTTGTTAGCTGCCTCTCCCTCTAGAATGCCAGCAACAGGGACTCTGTCTCCTGTCACTCCTTAGAATAGGAATTACTGTTCACCTCACACGTAATAGGTGCTCAAAAGGGAGATAGTGCATGAATGACTACATCTGTGATGGCCATATAACATCATTGTGTGGAAGTCACATGCAAACAGTGCTCATGCGTCCATGTGCCCTGGGCCTTTTGTGTGAATGACTTCACCTGGTGCTCACAGAACCACATGAAGTCAGCCTGTATCATATCATGCTGCTAGTTGCTGCCGTCAAGTCAGCCCTGTTCATGGCCCTTCCATGTACTAGAGAATGAAGTGCTGCCCACGTACACCTTCTGCACACACATCAGTATATCTGCGTCCATTCTTGCAGCTGCCATGCTGCTCCATCTCACAAAGAATGGACCGCATTTTGCTAACCTGCCATGTTATCAAGCATGGTGTCCTTTTTTTAGTGTCCCCACTGCACAGAGGAAGACACTGAGACCTCAAGAGGATGCAGGGCACAGAGCAAGTGACAAGCTGAGCTGGGATGTGAACCCATCCTGCACACCTCTCATTTCCCAGGTCTCCCCACCCTGCAGGTCTGGTGATGTCAGCCATCACGGTGATCATCCTGGTGCTGTACTTCACCGTGGACACCTTCGTGGTCAACAAGAAGCCGTGGCTGCCTGAGTGCACGCCCGTCTACGTGCAGTACTTCGTCAAGTTCTTCATCATCGGTGTGACAGTGCTGGTGGTCGCTGTGCCTGAGGGGCTGCCCCTGGCTGTCACTATCTCACTGGCCTACTCAGTGAAGGTGGGGTGGCCAGTGAGGCCAGCGCTGGGATTAGGGGAAGAGCTGCTGGAAAGGGGTGGACCAATGGGGGGTCCAGAGAGAGGATATGTGATGGAACCCCAAATTCAGTGCCTTCAGGGACTCCAGAGGACTGTGGCAAACACCACTCCGCCCAGCCAGGCATTGGCCTGTGGAGATGCAGGCCTAGCGCTCCTAGTTCTTACAGTTTTTGAGACAAGCTCAAAATCTCAACTTGAATATCTTGTTAGCTGCTGTCATGTCAGCCCCCAGCTCATGTACCCCTGACCTCTGTGGTACACAGGGTTTTCTTGGGTCACCAGGTCTTCCTTCCTGATGAAGGTACAAAAAACCTGCTCAACATCACAATAACAATCGAGCCTGCAGCATCAGACAAGAGCTGCATCGGCCAGGACTCCAGTCTGGGTTCCTCTTGGCTGCCTACCAGAAGGTTGGTGGTTCAATTCCACCAGGACACTTGGAAGAAAGGCCTAGGAATCCACTCCAGAAAGAGCAGCTCTTGAAAGTCCTGTGGGCTGGTTCTTTTCTGGCACTGGGGTCACTCGAGTGCAGCTAGGACTTTAGTGGTAGCCCTCCCTGGTAGAGAAGCTCCCCCAGTGAGGGATGGCTGGGAGCTTAAACACTGGCAAAAAGAAAAACAGACTTCATTGTGTGAGTTAAAATGCATCCACCAAATTTAAGCTTAAATCTGGCCCCAGGGAAGCAGCTGGAGTGTTTGTGCCACTAACTTAAGAGGTTCTTCCTCAAAGTTGGAAAGAAAGAAGCCTAAAACAAAAAGGATGTCTGATTTGATGGAAACACACTCCCTTGGGATGTGGACTGAAAATGCAAGATTTTTTCCCCTTTTTTATTGAGATATAATCTGTGTAGCATTCAGTTCCTCCATTTAAAATGTGCAATTCAGTGGTTATCAGCAGGAAACAACTCTGAAAACATCAGATGCTTTTAAGAGCTGTGTAAAGCAGGATTGATGGGTCTGTGAATGTCTGCTGTGGAGGACAGGCAGTCGTGATTTCCACACTGACACCAAAGCCCCTCCTGCTCAGCCCAAGTTCAGGGCCAGCAGCAGGCACCTTATCAGCCCTGCCAGGCCACACCTCGGGCCTCCCCACCAGTCCTCACAGCCCTAGATCACATCTTCACTCTTCCAGAGGGGATTCCCACCTCCAAAGGCACTGCCCTGAGCTCCTGCCCCCAAGCCAGGATGTCCTACAAGGAGTGGGGTGTGGCCATATTTACAGACCAGGCACCAACTTGAAGAGGCTGGCAGCCCTGCATGTCCGGGACGAAGTGAGTGTCAGGTTCCATGCTAGAGTTTGGCTGGGCTCACCGGTGTAATTTCATACAGAAAGAGATCTCCTGGCAGGTGCCAGAGGGTGGCAGCTCTGGGTACAGGAGATGGCCCTTATCGTCTCCAGTTTTAGGCTTCTCAGAAACTCCATCTCACAAAGCAAAGCCCAGGCCAGGCACAACACGATGCACCTCCAGTGCCTGAGGCCCAGAAAAGGTGAGCCAGACCCCAGCAAGCCTTGCTTAAGCTAGGGGTCTCCTGAGTCACTCAGAGTCAGTTTAAGGGGAGTCATGTACAGACATTTGCAGTCTTCTGCGCATGTAGCCTACAGGTCTCTGACACCAGGGCTTCAGCTGGTAATCTGTGAGCAGTGCCCCTGCCCAGAAAGGCACTTTGTTACCCTCTGAGCCTGGACCTACGTTCCTAGGACCTGCAATCAACAGAATAGGAATGACCACCTACAGGCAGTGCTGTCCAAAGGGCAAAATACACCACAGGCATAATCTAACATTTCCTAATGGTCACATTAGGAAGCTCTGGTGGCCTGTTCCATCAGAAGCGGCACTGTTAACCCAAATCCCAGACCTCTCTAGAATGTAGCTTCAAGGGAGGAAGATGGGCGGTCTCCTCCCGTGCAATTTACAGCTTCAGAAACCCAGTGGAGGGCGAGCTCTAAGTTGGCTCTGACTCCACAGCAGTAAGTTTTAGTAACTTTGTTCTGGAGCCCTGGTGGCAAAGTACATGCCATATCCAGAGTGGCATCCACTTCCAACATGCCTCCAGAAACTCTATGAACTTTGATAAATGTCATTAGTTGTAGAGGGGCTTCAGGTCCTTTGTTCATAGGGTCACTATGAGTCATGCTCAAGTTGAAGGCAATCAACAACAACAACCACCATCTAAAGGTCAGCAGTTCAAATCCACCAGCCACTCTGAAAAAGCCATGTTGGGAGCAGTCGTGGCCTGGTGGCATTTCTCACTGCTGGACACCCAGGTTTGAGTCCAGGCTGATGCTCCTATTGGTCAGTGGAGGCTTGTGTGCTGCGAGGATGCTGGAGATGCTCTAGTGGAGATTTTAGACTAAGACAGACCAGCAAGAAAGGCCTGGTGACCTATTCTGGAAACTCTGTGGGAGCCTAGGATCCAATCCACAATCACAGAGCTGGCAGGGGACAGGTTGGCGCTTCCTTCTCTCTGCCTGGGGTTCCCGTGACGCAGACCTGGCTCAACAGAAGCTAGAAATAGCAAGTCATACTTTTCTTAAAGAGGTCAAAATAAATGGATGACTTTCATTTTTTTTATTATACAGAAAGAATTTATTGATTTGCAAGACAACTACAAAAACAGACCATAAAAAATAACCAAATAAGTATTCTCTGTAACACTGTCAAGACAATTTAACACAGTACAACCACACATATCAACATCTAACTGCTCTAACTAGGTTATCTAATCAGCTCTATTTTCAAAGCACGGTTTTAACAAACATCTTCCTGCTTGTGATATACATGTAAGTACATCACACTTAATAATTAAATCTGCGGCTCCTCCAGGGTGCGTTCAACAGCTTCCATCAGCTTTTTATTTGCTTCCTCGTTATGCCGGCTTTGACAGTGAGTTAAATGTTTTTTAAAGCCTCTTGGGAAATTGGATTCAAAATTACAATGTGGACATTTAAGTAAACTCATGGGCAGCAACATGATTTTTTAGGAGAGATTCCAAAAGGAAAGCCTTTCCACAAATTGTGCATTTGTAAGGACTGTGAACATTATACTTATTAACCAAATGATGCAAAACAGCACCTTTCTTCATAGCACAACAGCAACAAATTTTACAGTAATACTTTCCTTTTCCACACTTCATGTATTTTGCTATCTCCTCTTCTGAGATAAAAGTCTCTTTTTCTTCATTAAATTGCAATACATTTTTTGACTGCTGTGAACCACTCATGTCCATTTTGTTCTCTTTACTAAAATCAATAGATTCCACATCAACCTGGTCTTGATCACTGCTCGACTCCTGGCCTTTAAGATCTATGGCATCCAAATCTGTCTTCATATACTCACTACTACTAAGCTCAGTATCCGAGTTCTCTTGGTTGTCCTTCTTGAGCTTCTTTGAGCAAGGAAATAAAGTGTCCTCTAAAAGTTTTTTGGGTATACTCAGTAGTTCTTCCTGAGGCAAAACATCACACTTTTTATCTTCTATCGTCCACCTGCAGTTCATCCCCAAGCTCAACTGCCTTTGGAGATTCTGAGAACAGAGCAGGTTTAGGAAGTTCAGGGAAAAGGGCATGTTTCCTGGGCTCTGGAAAAAGAGCACGTTTTCGTGGTTCAGGAGCAGCAGTTGAATTTCATTTTAATAATATTCACTTAACCCAACATACCCTTCATGATTAATTCAACATATGATCAGTACGAAGTTGTTGGTAAGATATTTTTCTTTCCTTCTTTCACAAAAAGTCCTTCAAACCTCAATGTGTAATTTAAAGTTACAGCACATTCTGCTTTAGGCCAGCCACATTTTCAGTTCCCTGTAGTTCTCATTCTGGATGGTGCAGGCTGAAAGAGTCTCAAACTCAACAGGTTCCCTCTACCCAGGGAATGCAGGGGGGCAGAGGCCCAGTGGATGAGGAGGCTGTGGGTTAAACAGAGCTGGGTCAAACCCCAGTTCTTACTCTCATGTGTATGTGGTCTTATCAAGCCCTTTGCCTCAATTTCTTCAATTGCCAAATTGATTACAAGAATTTGCACAAACCCCTGGACACCTCAGAACATCAGACAAGGATATAAATGCAGGAGGGCTTTGCAAATGGTAAATGGGTCGAAGTTTCAAATTGCTGTTGATTATCCTTTCAACATACATATTCCGTCCATTTTACTGTTATCACCAATTTTAAAGAGAGGCTGTGATGGGTGTAATCCTAGCAATACTTGTTTTCAGTAACAGGAACCTCTATTAAAATCATGCTCATTGCACTCTTTCTTTACCCTTGTTACTAAGAGTTCTAATGAGGAGCACAAAGAAGAGAAAGCACATCACAGATTAGAGCTCAGGTTGAGTTAGCCTCTCCTGCCAGAGAGAATTACTATGTCAGCAGGGTTGGCAGTAAGCATGGTGGTCTCCTGAGAATTTGCACAATTTTCTTGAGAATCTAGAAGATTCTAGGAGAATAGCGTTTGAGCAGAGAGAAAAAGGATGCATACAAAAAAAATAGATAATATGTGTATCAGGATATCATTTTTGTTGTTGTAAAAAAAAAGAATATTAGCATCAGTTCTGGGTGGCAGCATTATAACTGATTTTTTTTTTCTTTTTCCCTTTTGTGGTTCTACATTTAAAATACACCTTGTAGCTTTTATTAAAGGTTTATTACAGGTTGTAATACATGGTCATTGTAAAAAAAATGCAATCTACTTATTTAAAAAAGAAGGCAGTACAAATCTCTTGTCCTTCTACCACTCCGAGATAATTACATTAGTGTTATATGTCTTTCCAAATATTTTTCTGTGTATATAAGCACCTTTAGAGCCTATGGGTACCAGTTTTAATTTACCAGAGACAACTGTGAAGAAGGGTCTGGTGACCTATGTCAAAACCTCAGCCACTGAAACCACATAGAGCACAGTTCTGTGCTGACTCACGTGGGGTCAAGCAACTGACAACAATTATTTATTGAGTTTAGTGAGATCAGAGTGGTTGTGAAAGGTGGTATATCTCAGAAAACCTATACTCACATATGGAATAGTTATGACATAAAGGAAAAAATATTTGAAGTACTCAGCAAAGACCCAAAAATGATGTGTTCGATTTTTCCATAAAGTATATAGATGACTTATCTAATCAAAATTAATAAAGTCAGTCCGTTACTTTAAGTGACTCAGTGAGGAAGGAGAAGGCCCTCCTGCACAGAGCCCACAGGCAGACGCAGGAAGGGAAGAGTCACCAGGGGCATCTCTGATCCTGGGCTTCCTCTTTGCCCACCGCCCCCAGCTCCCTCTGCTTACTGTGTCTTCTCACCTGCAATTCTCTGCAGAAAATGATGAAGGACAACAACTTGGTGCGCCACCTGGACGCCTGTGAGACCATGGGCAATGCCACAGCCATCTGTTCGGACAAGACTGGCACACTGACCACCAACCGCATGACGGTGGTGCAGGCTTACATTGGCGATGTCCACCACAAGGAGATCCCTGACCCCAGCTCCATCAACACCAAGACCATGGAGCTGCTGGTCAATGCCATCGCCATCAACAGCGCCTACACCAGTAAGATCCTGGTAAGTGAGTACCTGCTGCAGTCTCTGAGGAGAGCACCTAGCAAGAAGGCCAGCCACGGGGAGTTGAGCATGGTGATTTGTAGCTTTTTTTGCATATGTATATGGCAATAGTAACTCTGTTCATCATCTTGTTCAATCATCCTCATTAACTGTTTCCAAACTTTTCTATCATCCTTAACAAAAGCGTGGTGTCCTCTGGCAGTCAGTCCCATTGTCCGCATCTGTCCTTTGTGACCACTAACCGACTGGGTCTATTCATTTTCCTGTTCTAGATATGTCATATAAGTAGGGTGTTAATCATACACAAATACCTGCATTGACTATCTAGACTATTGTTTAACCAAACAACAGGGCACCATGTCCTCACCATACTGACAAGTAAAATTAACTATGGCAATGCCCAAAAAGGAATGATTGTTGCTCTGTTTTTAAAATCCTGTCATTGACCCTTCCTCCCTCTCCCCAAAAGACTACTTTTTATTAGGTAGATTTTGCTACGTAACTAACCGCCCAAGAATTTAGTGACTCAGAACAAAACTACATACAATTCTACAAATATACATAAAACTCACAATTCTGCATGTGAACCATTCAGTTTGGGCTCAGCTGGTCAGTTCTTCTGGCCTTGGCTAGGATCCCTCATGAGTCTGTGGTGGTTCAAATGAACAGCTCTGCTGGTCCTCGGAGGACTAGTCTGGGATGTCCCACTCAGTAGGCCAGTCCGGTCTTGTTCGCATGGTGACAGCTGGATCCCAAGAGAAAGAGCAAAACCTCTTGAAAACATGGCTCTGAACTGGTCCAGTGTCACTCTGCTGCATTCTTGACTAAAATGAGCCTGGAGGTTGACCTATCCTCCATCAGGAGAAAGTAGACCCCACTTCTTGAGAGGAACCAAAATGTCTTGGTGCAAAAGGCCTAGATTCAGCGAGGGGGAATAGCTGGGACTGTTTTCACAGTCTACCCCAGAAGATGTGTCAGTAGTAGTAGTAGTATAACTAGCTTGAATAAGAAAAGCCCTCATATTCTTGTCTTAGCTAAGCTTTCTAGACTTATCTTTTTTGGGGTTGAAAAGTACAGGTTGCCTCTCCATAATTAACCAGCATTGGGTCAGGAGAAACACAGATTTAGGCATCCAGCTGTAAGCCACATCCAGATGCTGGGCTGTCTGGTAAATTGGCTCCATTCTTTTGCTTTCTCTCCCATGTGCCCTTTCCCTGACCTCTGCCTCTGCCTCTGAGGCAGCTCAACCTTTTGTGCAAACCACCAGCTGCTCTGTCAGAATCGGAGGCGTATGAGTCAACAGTCAGAGCCTGGAGCTGGAGGAGAGCAGGCAGGCGGCTCTGCCTGCAGACTCCAGGGCTGCAAGGGCAGCATCTCAGTGGTCAGGGAGCAGCTCCTGCCTCACTCTAGCTGCTGGTCATGGAGGCAGGACCCTCACAAGAGGAAAGTAGGTTGGGAGAGCACATGCCAGTGAAGACGAGAGACGGTCTGATGCCAGAAGTGATGACAACTTTTGTCTTTTTTTTTAACTTTTGTTTTCTTTTCTACCAAATATTGGAATCCAGGGGGAGCGAGGCTGCATTATTGAGCTCCCTAACCTTCCTAAGCTTTAGTTTGCTTGGCTCCACAGTCAGCACTCTTGACACCAGTAGCCAGGAAATTAAAAGACGTATTGCAATGGGAAAGTCTGCTGTTAGGGACCTCTCCAAAGTACTGAAGAGCAATGGTGTCTCTTCAGAGACTAAGGTGCATCTGATACAGGCCATGGTCTTTGCAATCTTTGCATCAGAGAGTTGGACAATGACTAAGGAGGATAGAAGGAGAATTGATGCCTTTGAGCTGTGGAGCTGGAGAAGAGTATTGAGGGTACCATGGACTGCTAGGAAAACAAACAGATTCATCCTGGAAAGGGTCAAACTGGGCAGCTCCTTGGAGGCAAGGATTCTGAGGCTCTGTCTAACATACTTTGGACATGTTGTAAGGAGAAGGCCATCATGCTTGGGAGGGTAGAGGGACAGCGCAGGAGTGGAAGACCCTCTATGAGGTGGATTGATTCAGTGACTGGGGTGATTGGGATGGGTGTGTCAGAGACAGTGTGATTGGCACAGGACAGAGCAGAGTTTAGGGCTGTTGTACATAGGGTCGCTATGAGTTGCAAGCGACTCAACGGCACATAACAACAACAACAACAACAACAACCACCTTCCTAAAATAGCCAAGATGCTGTTAATGATCTCGGTCTGTTGACGTGGCAGAGAGTGGGTGGATGACTGCCAGAGCAGGTTCCAGTCCAGGCAGCAAGGGGCACAGCCATGTTTGGAAGGCATGGATTAAGATGTATGTTAATGGATTACGGTGAAAGGAGTGCTGGGATCTGCTGAGAGGGCTGTGAGAGCATCTCCAGGGGGCAAAGTCTCAATGAGTATTTCATAGCACTGGCAGCAAAAGTAAAATCTCATTTACTGATGCTGGTTGACTGAAGCTATGTGTCTACATGGCATGGAGGGTGGGAGTCTGTCCACTTGTGAAGGCAAGAGGTCTTTGTGTTGTCACTTAAGCCAGATCACTGATTCTCCTGCACACCAGTGTCCCCTTCTGTCCCTTGAACCCAGACATCTTAAGTTCCTAAACCTCATGTTCTGGGTCTTTCCAGGCTGTCCTTGGGAAAATCTCCTGGGGCTCATATTCATAGGTCCAGGAGGGATAGCATAGAATCAAGGAAATCTCTGACCTGAATGGTGGTGGTGGTTGAAGCTTCCACTGTGGACTCAGGCAGTCTGGGTTCAAATCCCTCATCCAGGTGTGTGAATGTTACTTAACTTCTTTGTTCCCTAGCTTCCTGGGGAAAGAATAGGCTTGATATGAGGATGAAATGAGGTAATAAGTAAGGAGCACCTGGCTTACATTCAACACTATAGTAGTAGTAGTAGTAGTAGTTAGTAGTGTGGTGTGTTACTCAGTCCTAAAACCACCCATTTGGTGATAGGTAGGTGAACTGATACATGAACAAAAGGATATGTAATTAATGAAATTTAGTCCAAGTAGGGAGAGGAACATGTGGGTGGGATGGAACATGTGGGTGGGTAGATGGATGGATGGATGGATGAATGGATGGAGAAATGGTTGGATGTGTCTGTGTTTGGGTGGTCTCAGAACAGAGCTGACATCTTCCCCTCTGCCTTCCTGTCTTGTGGTGGTCCATCTGTCATCACTAGTGCCCTCTTGGTTCCCGCAGCTTGCTCAGCTGGTTTCTTCTACAACGTTTCTCAGACATCCTGGCTGTGCTGATCCCAAGTCCTCCTGTTTATCTGATACCTTTTGCCTGAATAGAAAAATAGCAGACTAGGGTAGAAAACCCAGAGACCACTCATTCACTCCAAAGCTTAGAAAAGAGAAGGGACTTGCCCCTGTGAATTCATCTCATGACGTCAGAACCCAGATGCCTGACATTCCATGTAAGAAATGATGGGTAAGAATATTGGCACTTTACTGTTGTAAACGGGACTGACACTGAGGTTGGGGGCAGACTGAGAAAGATGGCATAAATAATGCATACTGTTTTGAAACAGATGAGGGAGAAAACTGTTTAAAAGGGATATGTGATTAGGTATTATGGTCATGACAGGAGTCCAGAATGAAGGCTGTACAGTGGAGTGGACTTGGGGAGAGGGATTATATAACAGTGGAAGAATTTTTCTTTTACTTTTCAAAGAGAAGAGCGAACAGTGGGGGGCGGGGGTACGGGTGGGCAGGAAGAAAAGTGCAACAATGAACGAACAGAAATCCAAAGCCTCGTTAGCTTTCATTAAAATGAATAATAATAATAAAATAGGGGGGAAAGAATGTTGGCACTTGAAGTCAAACAGACCAGGGTTCAGATCGCAGCTCCAGTGCTCACCACCTGTGTGACCCTGAACAGGTTGCTGTGTCTGTCTGTGCTTGAACTTTCCAGACTGTAAAGGAGCATATAATGAGTCATAATTGCTAATATTCACCTACTGTTAGCTGCCATGGAGTCTGCCCACAGCTTATGACAGCCTCACATACAGTGGGATCAGACTTGTGATCCAGGAAGTTTGTACAGCCAACTTTATAAAATGGATCTCCAAACCCTTCTTCTAGTTCATTTTGGTCTAGAAGTTCATTTGGTCTAATGAAGCTTGTTTAGCCCCATAGCAACACTCAAGCCTTTGGTGACAGGCTTAACACATGAAGTGCATTGGCCAGGAACTAAACCTGAATCCCCTACATAAAAACAAAACATATCCACTGTATTGACTCAATTCTGACTCACTCACACACATACAAACACATCTCCCTCTTCCCACCGGGTTTAAGAGACTGTGAATCTGTACAGGAGGTGACTGCTCATCATGTTCCCTCAGAGCACCTGGTGGATGCAAACCACCTTTCAGTTAGACGTCGTATCAGCATAGCACCCTAAGCCATCAGGCTCCTGGGTCTAAAGAGAAAAACAGTCACAGAATGGTAAGAGAGAAATCTGCCACTAAACTACAAGTGCTCCCTGCATTCATTAGCCAGGCTCAATGCTAACCTATGAGTAAGTGTCCAGTAGCCTGATGGTTGTTGTTGTTGTTGTTATGTGCTGTCAAGTCATTTGCGACTCATAGCGACCCTATGTACAACAGCCCTAAACCGTGCTCTATCCTGTGCCAATCTCATTGCCTCTGACACACCCATCCCGATTACCCCAGTCACTGAATCAATCCACTTCATAGAGGGTCTTCCCCTCCTGCGCTATCCCTCCACTCTACCAGCATGATGCCCCTCTCCAAGGACCCGTCTCTCCTTGCAACATGTCCAAAGTATGTCAGATGAAGCCCCAGAATCCTTGTCTCCAAGGAGTAGCCTGATTTAACCCTCTCTAGGATTGATTTGTTTGTTTTCTTGGCAGTCCATGGTACATTCAATACTCTTCTCCAGCACCACAGCTCAAAGGCGTCAATTCTCCTTCTATCCTCCCTAGTCATTGTCCAGCT